GCCGACTTTGGGACTTATAATGGACTTGAATTAGTGGCCTGCTGTGTGGTTTGGTAACATCAGGACTGTGCCATTTTATTTGTCGACCGTGGACTTATTAGCCTCAGCAGCCAGTAGCTGCCTGAGTGAAGAAAAGCCTCTAGCTTCAGTGGGCCCAGAAGCAAGAGGCAGAGCTGAAGCCCAAGGTCGAGGAGCTTTCACACATCCCCTAGAGCCTGGCACTTGGAACTCAGACTTAAAGCCTCCAAATTGTAAGAATAAACTCCTGTTTGTTAAGGCCATCCCATTTGTGGTATATTCCTGTCAGAGCAGTACTAGGGAACCAGAACAGATGGGGAGCCCATGATGTGTCCCCATGGTGCTCAGCATGGGCCTTGCACACATTGCTAGCATACTAGCTCCCACCACCCCCAAGACCCTAACTGACTTCCAACGCTTGAGCCATAAATAGCCCCAGAAGCAACTGCCATCCCTAGTAGCTGTGTGTCAACTTGGCTATGGTTGCCAGGGGTTTGGCTAGCAACTAGACTAGCTGCTGTTCCATGATACAGTTTAATGTAATGTAATGTAATATAACCACCTCCCACAATGGAATTTAAGGTAATATAAGTAATCAACCAGTTGAAAAGGGAGTTTCCTTAAGGTGTGTTCTATTTCAGGCTATAAATGGATATTTTCAACAGAACTCTCTCTCTCTCTCTCTCTCTCTCCCTCTCTCTCTGCACTCTACCCATTGCCTAACACACCGGTCTTGGGATACAAACTTGCAAAAGTCTCCAGTGTGCCAGGCTGACCTTAAAAGCCTCCACAATCCAATAAGCTAATCCCTTGAAGTAAATCTCTCTCCCTCTCCCTCTTTCTTGTATATATCCCATTAATATATCTCACAGAACTTTTGTTGTTGATTCTGACTCATATCCACCCTTTATGACAGAGAAGAAGTGCCTCACAGGGTTTCCAAGGCTGTAATCTTTATAGAAGCAGACTACCACATCTTTCTCCCGCAGAGCACCTGATGGTTCGAGCTGCCGACCTTTCCGTTAGCAGCCCAGTGTTTAACCACTGTGCCACTGGGTCTCCTACAGAACTCTGAGACATTTAATAATGGCCTGGTGAGGTGTTAGGAAGGGCTCCCTACCCAGAGAACAGCACTAGGTTCCAGACCCAGCTTCCCGACATTCTAGCTGTGTGGCCTTCAAACAGTGGCTTCTCCTTTCTGGCCTCAGTTTCCTCATCTATAAAATGGGCAGCATTATGTTCCTGTGCAGGGCCCAGTGCCTGGCCCACAGTAGGATGGCCAAGACTTGCTGGCTGAGGCTTCTGCCATGGCTCAGCGGTGCAGCCCCAGCCTGGCAAGCACGCCCTCCCTCCACCCGCTCCTCAATGCTCCTCTGAGCAACTCACAGATGATTTATACCTCTGAGGATGAATCAATACAATATACGGCCAAAGACATCTTTAATCTTTCGCAGGGATTAGGCTACAAGGTACAGCGGCCTCTTTCTACCGGCCGCTCAATTCTGATTTCAATTTGGCCAGCTGCAGCGTGGCTTTCTCTCTCTTATTTTCACTGCCTAAAGACGTTCCTCCAAATCAAATTTCATTTAGCAGGCAGGGCAAGGAGGCCTAGCTGCTCATACACAGGGGAAGGCCCAGCCAGGGCCTCAGGGGCTGCCACACACTGGCACAGGGGGGCAGAGGAAGGGTCTGGGGCCCTGGGAGGTCTGGCAGGATGGGGAGCCCTCACTGATGGGCGATGGAGCATAGGGGTGAGGGGCAGCCCCTGCAATGGAAGCCCTGGCAGAGTAACTAGTTCTCTTATTTTTCTTGACTGTGAGCTCCTTGTTAAAAATCTTGAGTAGACTTTAGTTTCTCTGACTAGCCAACACCTGAGTAAAACCGAAACCCACTGCCATTGAATTAATTCTGATTCATAGTGACCCAGTAGGACGGAGCAGAACTACCCCATGGGTTTCCAAGGCCACAAATCTTTATAGAAGCAGTCTGCCGTATCTTTCTCCTGCAGAGTGGCTGGTGGATTCAAACTGCTGATCTTATGGTTAGTAGTCAAATGAATGCTTTCACCACTGTACTGTCAGAGCTCCTTTAATACCTGAATACAAAAAAAAAAAAAAAACCTCACTGCCATCAAGTAGATTCCGACTCCTAACAAACCCTCCTTGGGTTTCTAAAGCAGTATCTCTACAAAAGTAGATTGCCCAATCTTCCTTCTGAGGAGTGGCTGATGGGTTTGAACTACCAGCCTTCCGGGTAGCAGTCAAATGCCTTAGGCACTATGCCACCAGAGCTCTCAATACCTGAACAGATGCTTGTCAAGAATTCAGACAATAGAGACATAAGTTCTGCCAAAAAGCAATGCCCTGACCCACCCCAACCCTGCCCCTCTTGCTCAGAGCACTTTAGCATGTGTCCTTTGGTGTGTGTATGCACGTGTGAGTGTGCCATGCCTCCAGCACTTACACGGGGACTGCCCAGTTTGGGTTAACTAGTTAACCAGTTGCCATCAAGTTGATTCTGACCCAGGCGATCCCATGTGTGTCAGAGTAGAACTGTGCTCCCCAGGGTTTTCAATGACTGATTTTTGGGAAGTAGATCACCAGGCCTTTCTTCTAATGCACCTCTGCATGGACTCAAACTTCCAACGCTTCAGATTGCAGCTGAGCCTGTTAACCATTGCACTACCCAGGGACTCCCTTGGATGGGTCTCAGTTAAGACGAGGAGAAGGGATAGAGACAGAATGGGCAAGAATACAAAAGCATTGACTTGGATCTTGGAGCTCGACTATCTAGGTTCCAATCCCTTCTCACCCCTAACTTGCTATGTGACCTGATGCCAGTTATTTGGCCTCAGTTTCCTCCTCTGTAAAATGGGCATAGAGCAATGCCTACCTCAGAGGATCAGGAGGATCACATGGGACAATGGGTACAAGAAGCTGGGCATGATGGAGACACAGAGGGAGGGCTGTGTAAGTTCTTCTCTGTCCTATAGACTTGCTATCAGTCAGAACTGACTCGACAGCAATCGGTTTTTTGTAAGTACCTAAGACATTTGACTGCTAACCAGAAGGCTGGCGGTTCAAAGCCACCAGCCACTCCTCGGAAGGAAGATGGGGCAATCTATTTCCATAGAGATACCGCCTTGGAAACCCAAGGAGGGGTTGCTATGAGTTGGATCCTACTTGAAGGCAATGCGTGCAAGGATAAGTACTGTTAGTACCTTAAGGCAGGAACTGAACATAACTGGACTCCTGGATTCTGGACCCTCTGTCTCTTCCTCTTTCCAGTACCTTTGTGCCCAAATCCTGCAGTGACTGCTCCTTAAACAGAAAAGGCAGCGGGCTTGTTTGGGGAAATATCCAAGCCACTGAGGAAAGGAACTAGCAGAGCAGGGCGGGTGGTGCTAGCCTGGACAGAGTCTTGTGTCTCAGCTCTGAGCACAAGGACAGGACATGTGGGCAGCCAGATAGAGGGGGCCTGTAGCACTACAGTCTGACACTGTCACCTGAGGCCCCAGGGTGCTGAGCCCTCACTTCCCTGAGGGTGGGGAGCAGGGTCCCATTCACTCCTGCTTTCCTCTGCCTGGACCTGACTGCTGGGGCAGGGAGTGGCCTGGAGCCAGCACCAGTGTCAGTTGCCCCACTTCCTACCTCCCCACCACCCCCCTCCACCCGGATGCAGGAACCCAAGTAGCTTCAGCTGTACAATTAAAGGGGCTTATTGGAGATTTATAGCAGGATTATGCCCGCAGGGTGTTACCAAGCCAGCCTCTGGACACTATGTGGTCCTCAGGAAAAGCAATTAGAATCCTGGGGCTATGCAGGTATAAATATACAGACGCCATCCACCCAAGGTCGAGGGCGTCTCTGTGAGGTATTTAGAGACAGGGCTTTGGGAGAGGCCAGGAAAGGGGCAGAGGGGCCCTCTCTGCAGGGAGGTAGGCCTGCCAGGAGGGGAAGGGCTTCCCTGCCTCCCCTGATACCCACGTCAGGGGCCCCAAAGAAGCCACAGACGCCATCCCTCTGTCCCATGACACAGACCTCAGGGAACCCTCTCCTCTTGACAACTTCAGTCCCCCCAGATGGAGGTGCCCCACCCAAGGGCCTTCCTGCTGCCCCCACCATGACCCCGAGGCCTGCCCTTCTGCCTTCACCATCACCATCAAAACTGAACCCCTCAGTGGCCCAGGCTCCAGGGCCCTGCTAAGTGGCTGGGCTGTTGCCTGCTAAGATTTGAACCCTTGTTATCTGTTATCTGAGTTAGCCTCTTATCACTTGGATGATACTTAAAAGCTTTATCAGGAGATTCTGATGACAGCAATTTAAGGTAATGCAGTGAGTGAGCTTAATGGAGGAATACTGGGCATTGTGGTAACTGGGGGAGACCTCAGGATAGCAAATGGTTTCCTCAGGGTTCCTCAGATCCCACCCTGCAGGGTGCACCTACTTCCCAGAAGGCCAGACCTGCTCAGCCCCACCCTGCTGAAGAAATAATCTCACCCCCACAGGCAGCTTCATTTTAGAGTCTCCAAAGCCCCAATCCTTCAACGAACCCTTGCCCCACAACCTTAGCCCCCAGAAACTGCCTGGCTGCCTGCCTATCTTCTGGGTCCCAGAGGCTCCCTTAGACAAGACCACCTCCATCCCACCCTCCCCTTCCCCTCTGTCCATGAGAACAGCAGCCATTCCACTCACTCCAACATCCGGAACATGGACAGTCCATTCATTGGCACAGCCATGCAGAATCTGCAAAAGTCATTTCCATCTACCACCCACAGGAGGCACCCCACCACTCTAAGAGGCCAGGTTTCCAGTGCCCAGAGGTCAAGAAGGGAAATGGCCCTGAGGCAGGCAGCATCCACTTCAGAGTCCAGCGGTGGTTCTTGGACAGGGCTCAGTCCACTGGGTTATGAAACAAACCTTATCAGGGACATCTCCCCCCTACCCCCAAGCACAACCCCACAGACAGGGCACCTGACTCACCATCCTCGCGGGACTTCTGGATGAAGGCCTCCACACCACTCTCGCCATAGCTGCCCTCCGAGGCCAGCGTGGACACGTAGTTCCACTTGAGGGCGCGGACGATGTCCACCATGGCCTGGGCCTGGTACGTGTCCGAGGGCACCACGCGGGAGAAGAAGTCGTAGCGGCTGTTGTCACTCAGGTCAGGGGCTGTGGAGGCGTAGCTGATCTGGGGGATCTGGGGGGCGAGAGGGGCTGCTGATGCGGGTGGGCTGGCACCCCACATTGTGCACAGCTGGGCAGCCTGCTGGGCCAGCACTATGCCTGCATGTGAACCTCCCTCCGGTTCCCAAGCTTTGGGACCAGCCCAGCCCTCCCCACTGGCACTGCCTCCTCTCCCAATTGATAAGGAGGAAAGTACAACCAGAGAGGTTGGGCAGGTAGCCTGAAGCTGCTCAGCCAGGCTCCCCACTAAGCTCCCCCTGGGGATCCTGTCCGCCCCCATGCCCACCCTGTGCCCAGCAGAGTGAGGTTGGCATCAGGCTAAGAAGTGATTACACATCAGCACCAAGAACTCCTCCTCTAGAAAGTCTCCCAGCAGACCTGACTTTCCCTGGGTCCTCCGACTCACCAACAACACACACACACACACACACACATATACACACAGCATCACAAGGGTCACACACACACAACACACTCCAGGAGCTTCTGAATGTCTCCATTTACATAAAATGTTAGAAGCTCCCAGCTCAGGAAAAATCCCCAAGTGGATAGGATGGTTCACACTGGGACTAGGATAGGAACAGAGTTGTGGATGTCCAGAGGGAAACTGAGGGGTCATGTGGTCCATCCCCAACCCCAGGCACCCATTCTTGTCACAACAGACCCTGTCCCCACAGCTCCCTCTGAGCTCAGGCTCTTTCCTTCTTTCTAGCTCGGATGAGACAGAGACCAGGTTTCAGCTGCCCACGCTACCCCCACAGGCGGAATCCAAAGAGGCCAGAGTGAGCAAAGTCACTAGGAACCTCCTTCTCTCCTCAGCCTGGAGAGACAGGGCCCAGAGAGGCAGGAACAGACCCCAGGCCTCATGCTCCCCGCTCCAGGCAGAGGTGAGGCTTAAGCTGCCCCTGCTTTCTGTAGCTGAGACTCAAGGAACCCCAAAGGACATGGCGGGCAGCATGGACCTTCCTGTGCCTTCTCCTACCAGTCCATGCTCCCACATTCCTGGTGCTCCCAGCCCCTCTCACCTCCCCTTCACATGCTGTCCCATCCATGCTTCCCAGACCCTCATCCACTGCTCTCCTGGGGCTCATCAGTGTCTATGCCCCCTTTTCCCTTCCTTGGCCCACATCAAAACCTACGACTTCCTGTGAGTCCATCCCTCTGCCCTGATCTCAGCTGTCCACTGTGACACATATTGACCTGGGCTGATATAGAATCTAAGACTTTATCCTCCTACAGAATCACTAAGATTCTGGCCAAGAAACTCCTGGCTGGAATTCAGGCCCTGTAACAACTGAGGGTAGGGAAGGTTTCAGTGGGCAGGAGGATGAGAAAGGTGCCCCCCACACAAGTGGCTGCCCACATGGCCAAATGCTACCCCCAGAGACCACCTCCCAGACCAGATAATTCACCTCCTTGGGATGGAAGAACAGAGATTTTGCTAACCTAGCAACCCCACCTCAATAACCAACCATTCAATTCCATTCATTTCAACTAAGACTTTTCTGAGCACCTATTGTGTCCTAAATGCTGGGGACAGAGAAGCGAGTAAAACACACAAGGTCCTTGTCCTCACAGAGGTTCCATTCTGGTGGGAGAAGAGGAACACAAGCAAGTCAACACACAAGTAAACAACCAGGATGGTTTCCAATAGCAATGGGTGTCATAAAACAGGGTAAGAGAACAGGGGTGGCTGGGTCGACAGGTAGCAAGGTCTGGAACGGTGCCATCTGAACAGATCAGCATAAGCAAGGTTGGGGAAAAGGCGAGTGAACTTGGAACATGGTTGATGTGTTCATGGCAGAGCCAGGAGTCCAGTGTGGCTGGAGTGGACCAGGAGGGGAGCAGCAGGAAATGCAGTCAGCACCCAGTAGGTCTCATAGCTATTAAATAAGGGGGTTATTTAAAAGAATAATAGACTTATGACAAAACTGGTTAACAATAGGAGATCACGAAAATAAGCAAAATAGAAATTTTAAAAAGATACATAACAACAGATGTTATAAAAATGTTTAAAATACCAAGAAGGTATTTGTGAAAAGTTGTTGTTAAGAGCCATCGAGTCAGTTCTGATTCATAGCGATCCTACGTACAACAGAATGAAACACTGAAAAGTTACATGCTGACAAATATGAAAACCTGGTCAAATTATTTTTAAAGTATTAAAAATTCAAAATTGAGACTCAAAATTGGGACAGGAAAAAATATAAGCCCATTTCATTCATGAAATAAATATGTGAATAGAAAAATTCTAAATAAACATAAGCTGAATTTAAAAATAAAGAAAGGGAGAAATAAAGAAAGGGAAGCTTGAGTATAGGAAATCGCCCTCCTTCTTCCAAAGGGAGCAATTCCAGGGCAGTAGGGGCTCACCTTCCACTGAGGATGCCCGTTGCCAACTGCTCAGCAATCCTGTGAGGCCCTCCCCTACAGGGCTACAGCTGGCCAATCATTGCCTCCCATTGGAACTGGCCTTTCCCAGGCTCCAGTCACTGGGACCTTTGAGGAGTAGGTAGGGGAAAACAGTTGACTGGGTTTTTGGATTTCCAGGACACCCTCAAGTTGTTAAGGCTCTTACGGCCTTTATAAAATGGCATGCACATTGTTCACTGCGGCACCTTTTGAACAAGCAAAACTTTGGAAACAAACTATAGTGAAACCTGTGAGAGCTGGAACTTGATGGGACTGCCTTATTTTTCTGGGTCTCGCAAGTTTTCCATCTTTGACAGGGTGTAGTCTTACCACTTTTCTATCACTTTTTATTAGTGGAAAATATTTGAGTTGTCCTTCTCTGACAGGCTTCTGCCTTACACAGCTTCCGCCTTTCGCAAGTTTTACTGTTCAAGTCCATAAAGAGGGGATTGGTTAAAGAAGTTATGGCCACACAAGGAATACTAGGCAGCTCTGAAAAAGAACAAAGCAGCTTTCAGTGAACTGCTCTCAGTGACTCTCCAAGACCAAGTAAGGCAGAAACAACAGCAACAAAGAAGGAAGGTGTAGATCTTGGGGAGACCAGCAAGGCTGTAGCATGAAAGGGCGTAATACAGTAAAACCTTCAAAAGCCAGAACCCGTGTAAAGCAGAAACCTGTCAGAGAAGGAAAACTCAAATATCTTCCATTAACAAAGAGAAAGTGAAAAGTGGTAAGATTGCACTCTTTCAAAGGCAGAAAACTTGCAAGACTCAGAAAAACAAGGCAGTCCTGTTTGTATATGCATAGACTATCTCAGAAAGGTTATACCTGAAAGAGGGTCCAGAACCCCTTTAACCCACAGCCAGCCCAGCCTGACAGAGCCTCTGTTAGCAGCCTTCAGATCTAGGCCCACTTCCAGATGTGGGGCCCAGGTGCGCTGCCCCCTACTCCCTGCCCCGTGCCAAGCACCCTCATTCCCACAGAGTGTGCAAGGGCCAAGAAGTTTCTGCAGGGCATGCATGTCAGCCTGCAGGGAAGCTGCTGCCCAGTGCCCTGATTCCAGGAGCCCAGGAAGGGCCTCTGCTCTGCCCCCAACAATTCCTAGGACCCTGGATCAGGGACCTAGTCCTGAGATGGGAACTAGGGTAGGCCTCTAACAGGCTCCTGAACCGGGTTCAGGGGATAAATCAGCATCATCCTACAAGTCCCACCTGACAGCAGCTCCGACCCCAACTCCTCAGTCTCCCTTCTCAGCTCTAGGTCCTCCTATGTTTCCAGGGGGCGGGGAAGATTGATTTCAAGCAGACATTCACGAGCTAGCTAGACTAAAATAACCCACTGCCAAGTCGATTCTGAATCATAGCGACCCCTTTGAGTTTGCAAGGTGGTAAATCTTTACAGAAGTAGATTGCCTACTCTTCCTTAGGGCGACTGGTGGGTTTGAACCACCAACCTTCTGGTTAGCAGTCAAATGCCTTAGGCACTAAATCACCAGAGCTCCTTAAGAGCTAGACTGCTCGGAACCAAATCTCAGCTTCACTACTTGCCGGCTGGGAACTCTTGGCAAGTCTCTTCACCTCTCTAGGCCTCAGTTTCCTCAGCTACCAAATTACATTACAATAAAGCTGTGAGGATCACATGAGGGAATTTGTGTGGCACACTCAGAGCAGCACCTAGAGGTAGTAAGCACTCCAGCTGTGTGCATTGTTTCCACTCTAAGCTTTCTCTCGGCAGCTCTCATCTCTGCTTGCCTCTTGCTCTGCTCAGCCTGTTCTCCCCTCTAGGACTCATCCTCTCGGCCTCCACACCTCACCCCAAGCTCTCTCTACACGTGCTGCCACTATTGTCCCTGTGCTTCGTGTGGACGCCTCCTCAGAATGCTAACAGGTTCTCCAGGCTCTCCTCCCTCCCTGCGCCCCCAGCCTGGTGTTGGGGGTAGGGCACAGACTCGCACAGGGATGCCTGCCTTCAGCACAGCAGAGGCTATGTCTGCATCTAAGCAGGTGACTGTGACAGCCTGGCCCAAGTGGGGCTCTGACGTTTCCTGACCTCTCACTGTCTCAGTGGCCCAACAGGAGCAGGAGGGGGACGCTCGATTAACATTCTCCTCAGAGAACCTTCCTCTCCTCTCACAATATCAGTGGCGAGAGAGGAAGGAGGCAACAGTGCCCACACCAATGCCAGCTCCTCCGTGTCTGCCTCCCTTCTTTCCTCCCTCCCCTCCTTCTATCACCCAACAGACTGGGCAGTTATTCTGTTTTACGGAGTCACACCCTCATGGGCCTGCAGTCATTGAGGAACCCAGATTTCAGCAGCACCTAATCAACCCCGGGTGCCCAATTCTAGGCCCTTCTATCTGTCTTTTTCTCTATTCCTCTCTGCCAGTCTCCACCTGCCCACAGAGCCCATGACCTCACCTTCCCACATTCAAATCCTTCCTGTGAATCAAGAATCAGCTCAGTAGAAATTGTTGAATTGGTATATGTTTTGCTATGCATATTTCCACACACAAAAAAAAGTAGCTCAAATGTAGCCTCCTCCAGGCAGCCCTCCCTGAACTCTTGGCATCAGAGAGCCCACTCAGACCTCTCACAACACCAG